AGCAAAGCAGTCATGGTAGAGGCTAAGGCGTCCCGTCCCAGGTGAATGTTCCTAAGCCACAGCAAAGCAGTCATGGTAGAGGCTAAGGCGTCCCGTCCCAGGTGAATGTTCCTAAGCCACAGCAAAGCAGTCATGGTAGAGGCTAAGGCGTCCCTCCCCCAGCCCGTCGTGACACTAAGGGTGCCCCTTTTCATAATGGCCGTTCACACAAAATTCACAACAATTTACAGAGAACGACTGCCTATCCAAGTCACCCCCCCCCCCCACCCTTGCTATGAGACCCCCTGATACACCCCTGCATGCAAGTGAACTCTGTCACCCCTCTGGAGAGTGCAGGCTGCATTTGTTATATGTGAATCACTGAATCGCAAGCATGTAGTCAGGGATGCGCTTGACGCTGGGCCTTGTCTGGCCGTGAAGAGGACGGGCAGCATTCAGGAGGCTGAGGAGATAATGTTTGAGGGGGTTCTATGACCCCTTTACAAACCGCAGGATATACTTTTTGGGCAGCAGTGGTTGGGTACTGTCAGGGAATATACTGGATTTTGAGTGTCTCGTCTTGTTTATTTCTCCCTTGGCGTAAACTGACAGCTTAATGTTGGAGCCCCTTGAACCACAGTCTGTGTTTGCTATTGATGACTCTCACTGACCTTCCTGCCTCTGCATTGTTTTTTTTTTGTATTGCCGATATGTGAGCAGATCAGATAATGAAAGGCTTGTCTGCCATTAGTCCGTTCGTCTGCTTCCATCTTCCCCAGTCCCTTATAACCTGCCTCATAATGATTTTTTTCCCTCTGTTTGACAGCACATCAGCCGAGATAAGACGTTCCAGTCGGATAATGAAGGCAGCCAGGTTTTCAAAGGACACAGGTAGTCTTCCCTTAACTCTCTCCATCTCATTTGATTTAATTTCTTTCTCCTCTTTTCCACATCACTGGCAGATGCAAAGATGCAGAATGCTGTGGAAAATCGCTGGCTGGCAGGAGCCTCATAGAGCCGAATGCCCCTTTCAGAAAGCGTGTTTGCAGGATGGCCCCACGATACAGCGGTCTGACGGGGGGGCACAAGGGATGGCTGGGCTGGGCTGGGCTGGGCTGAGCCGGGCGGGCTGGTGCACTGTACTGGTGCCAGGGAATTAGGGGCGTATTGTGGACAGCCGGGGGGGGGGCACGGCCATGTGCAGCCGGAGCGAGCTGCGTGCTTTGTTTAACGCCAAAAACAATGTTTTTCATTATTATGGCTATTGGGCAAACACAGGGTAATTAGGCTCCTGTCTGTGTGCACAGAATCAGGGAAGATGATTGGCCTGCAGGGAAAATGGGAGTTTTTGTGTTTCAATTAGTCGAATGCCAACATCTGCATAGCGAATTCCCAAGGATGCCTGTATCCTCATGAGCTTTGGTCAGGTGTTGGCGTTTACACACCTGCCTTCTGCTGTTGGTTCGAACCAGCGTCTGAGTGCCGGGTCTCGTCTCATAATGGTAAAAAAATCAGGATTAAAAGCGTATGTTATTGTGAATGTTTGAGCCACTACATGAGGGAGATTTTTCAGAAATGTGGTATAGCTGATCTAGAGTTGATGTTCTAGTGATACTGACTGGTATACCTGAGGGCCCCTCCCGGTCTCCCTGACTGACTGTCCCTCCCGGTCTCCCTGACTGTCCCTCCCGGTCTCCCTGACTGTCCCTCCCGGTCTCCCTGCCTGACTGCCCCTGACTTCCCCTCCCCGTCTCTCTTCCCCAGAAACCTGGTCACCTCCCTCTCTGTCTCCATGGACGGCACCCTCCTGCTCTCCGGCTCCCATGATGAGACCATTCGGCTGTGGGACATCCAGAGCAAGCAGACCATCCGCATCAGCAGCCTGAAAGGTGAGTGGGTGGGGGGCACCATGCCCGCGAGCCATGCCCAGGCCAGAGCCGCCCTCTTCAGGGTCCGGGTCCGAGTCTGGGTTCCTGCAGGCCGCCTCTGGCTCTCGTTTTAAACTGCTTTCTCTTGGCAACTCATCTTGTTTAATTCATGAAGTGGAAAATGCTGAGCCCATCTGTCACTTGTGCTTTTGAAATAACATTTAAAAAATATATATAGGGGGAAACTGCCTGTTTCATCTGCTGAGATGTTTTTCTGCTGAGTTTCCCCGTCAAATCTAACGCTGAAAGCTGTCTCGGGTCCTACTGATACTGATATGATGCCTGTTACAATGAGGGGTCTCTGCATCAGCTGCATATTCTATTGCTACAAAGAACTCCACCTTTAAGAAGTTCATTCTCTGTTTTCTGAAATGTGGTCAGGAAAAACTTCTCAAATCTTTAAATTGTTTAGTCACCTTATGGAGAAATGTTTCTGACTTTTTCATTCTGGGCAAAAATGTCGATAGGTTAGTGTGGAATTCTCTGTAAACCCAGTGGAGCCATAATCAAATATCGCATCAATGTAACCTGGCTACACGGGTGTCTGGACGGACCACGTCCAGTTCTGTCACCTTACAACCCCGACGCAGAAACTGGCGCATCATGGATGCTGAGGTTGCAGTGGGCGTAGTGTCAGTGATGGTTTCACGGAGGACGGCAGTGAGCTGAGAATCGTTGTGCATGGACCCAAAACTGCAGGTGCAAGAGACTAACTGCCATTGAAAGATCCCGAGGCTGTTCTGGAGCGCTCATCTTCTGTGTGTTTTACATTCTGTCCATTTCAGAAGCCAAGGGTCAGGTGCTGGTTAACAGCCTCCCGATTGTCATGGAGAAGAGGGTAAAAAGAGAAAAGTAGCTTCAGTCATTTCCATTCCATTAGAAATTACTGAAGACACTGGAGAAAAAGGCGCGTGAGATATTCACCAAACAGATCCGTGTGGGATGCGGATGGTGCTGAGCCTGAGCTTTCAGACGCTCTGGAAAGCAGGCAGCACGGTACTGAAGGACCTTCTGCTCTGTTCACGTGGATGGTGCTGAGCCTGAGCTTTCAGATGCTCTGGAAAGCAGGCAGCACGGTACTGAAGGACCTTCTGCTCTGTTCACGTGGATGATGCTGAGCCTGAGCTTTCAGATGCATGGTGTATGGTTCTTTCCTTCAGAGCTGTGGAGTAACTGCAGATGGAGGATAGAGATGGACTTTGGGAATGTGACGAGGTGGGGTGTGTCCTTGTTAGGCTGGTTAGCAGTCCGGTGGGGGGGGGTTGGAAAAGAAGGATGAGAGAAGAAAGAGGGCTCTTTGATGATGGCCATTATTCATGGCAAAGATTAATTTCTCATCTGAATTGTCATTTAACAATTGAAGTGAATGATTAATATGTGTGAAAGGACAGCCTTGGGTGGACGTGTGCTCTTTAAGACTGCATTGTTTAAATTAAATCCATTACATTTAATTACTGTTACATTAAATGACATAATTATTGATTTCATGTATTAACTTGAAGTATTTCAAAACTTGAAGTTATCTGATAATATCCAGCCAGTCCACTACTTTCCTGCTTTGATCAGGTCATCGTTTCAGCTCAGATCTGTCGTTTGTGTTAGCCTCGCTAACTTTTAGAAATGACACACCTCCCCCAGGACAGTAATACCCCTAAGAACATGTCCCCACGAACAAACTGATATCCTCCTTGCCAGCTAAACTACACTGATCCAGGATCTGCCCACATTCACTTCAGTTTTTGTTAGGTTATGGTCGATGTTGCCAGGTCCTCTGCTCAGAGCCTTAATTACGTCTTTTACCCCCGTGGAGTTACTGTCCCACTGAAGACTTGGCCCTATAGCACGATGAGCAACCTCATCACATGGTCCTGTGGTGGCAACAGCGTCACCTCTGCTCCTCACCCTTGGCTTTCGATTGTGGCCCTTTTCCTTGCTGACTCTTTGTTCCTTTGTTGGCTTTCGTTTCTTTTAATTTGTTTTCTTATTAACCCTCTAGGGTCTAAGGCCCCCTCAGATGCCATGACTTGCTTTGACTTTTCTGTGTATATCAGCAGCACAATACATAACGATTCACTGTGACCTATGTTTTTGTTTTCAGCAGAAACGGCTACAAAAATATAGCAGTTTTTTGCCAAGATTTTACTTTTCTTTTAGATTTTTAAAAAATGATCCAGCTTGCAAATCTGATTTTCGAAACATGCTAGGATAATTCCAATAATCACAAATTTGTTCATATTCAGTACACTTTCGAACACAGACCATTCATTGTAGGCACAAGTCTTAGCTATGCAACTGTATTAAAGTTATTCACTAATTCCTTTCAGTTTAATAGAGAGATGTTACTTATGTCACTGTTTCTGTTCAGTTGTCTCTACCTGGGTAAATGGAGGCTGTCATGAATATGAATGAAATTCACCTGGGGAATTTCCCATACCCAAATCAGCCTGTCAATGGGCCTGTCTAGTGCTGAATGCCAGTGTGAGATGACACAACTTGTATAATTTGTACTTTGTTTGTTGAAGGCAGTAGGAATGGTAAGTGTGGCAGGATAGCGAATTCTCTTAGCATGATTAAGAGCAGCTTGTTTTGTGCCAGTCTTTAAAACAATCCTCATTGCTGTCACAGTCTTCATCGGAGGATGAATTAATTTCATCATCGCTGTCGGGTAATGATTGAACTTGCTGCAGAGCTTTTTCAGCAGAAAAATGAGAGCATGCCATTGTGAAAATAGCAAATACAATCTGCCTGATTTCACGTGCCATTTTATGTCATTCTCGATCTGTTTCTCGCGTGGGTTATCTCCGCCTTGAATGAACATATCGTTGGCATAACAATAACCAGTCACACTTGGGGCGTGTCCACAGGTAAGACGCCATGAGGAAACATGGCGCCATTTTGCATAAAAGCGGACATTTGTTTGCTAAGAGTGTGCATGTTTGAAGGAAGACACCGTAACATTTGTAATAATATTTTTTTCAAGTCTGTCTGACATAAACAAGAAGAGTTATTTAGGTTGTTGTCACACACTTCGAAAAATCTGCCTTGAGAGGAAAAACCATAAAGGAGCATGTTGTGATTTTATAAAAATGTTGATTTGTGTTATTTGTGAAAACACATTTTTAAGTAGGCAGATGAAGCTTTCTGATTATGTATTTTTTGAGTATATGCAGGTACTGACGGAGATAACGACATTCGTTTCACACATTTCAAAACATTTTCCAAGTTAACGCACCAGCACCTTAACCGACTCCAGGGAGTTGACTTTTGATAGAGTAGCGGCCTGATCTGACGTCAGTGACACTCCTCTTCATGTTGTTCTCTCTGTCTTGTGTTTCAACATGAAATCCAGGGTTTATATGCTTCTGCTGCTGGACTATTGGGTGTGTGCGGAGACCAGTCAGGATCTTGATTTGCGAATGGCCGAGCGCAATACTCTTGGGGTCCTGGGGCAATTAGCTTCAGATGCTGAGCATGGCATTCTGGGAAGATGGCTGCCTCTGCTATTCTCTGTTGGGAGCGGCGGGAGGCCTCAGATGCTTTAGCTGCTTTCACTGCGGCTTGGTCTTCAGATACAGGCCTTAATGCTGAGTATGATCTGTCCATGTGTAGCTGCATGGGCCAGTTCCTTTGCTGTCACAGATTGGGTTTTCTATTTTGAGAAAGGAAGGAGGGGAGACGTGAGAGCATTTGTGGGATCCTACTTTAAGCTACTTTACCTTCATGGAAAGGCAGAGTGACACATGGGATATGCATCCATGAGAACTGCTACCTGGAGTGCTCCTCATGCATGGAGAGTGCTACCTGGAGTGCTCCTCTTGCATGGAGAGTGCTACCTGGAGTGCTCCTCTTGCATGGAGAGTGCTACCTGGAGTGCTCCTCTTACTGCATCTTCTGCACCTCCCTGTTCTGGGAAGTGCTTGTGTTGCTGGTCCTGGCCCCCTGCTTCTGGCACTCGGAAGCGGTGTTTGCCTCCCTACACCAGCTGTGGGGGGTAGGTCTTGGCTTGCTGGGTTTCCCCTTCAATCGTAACCTGCTCTCATCAATTTCTTCTAGTAATTTGACAAAGTATTTTTGATCTTCTGGTGGAAGCACCCTTCAGCGAGGTGCAGGCCCCGTGATGAGCCCTGTTTATTCATGTTTACCTTTTCAGCCCTGTTTGCTAGATGAATTCTGTTTACATACATTTGAAAGTAGCACAAAGTCAAGGTCTGCTGTGTTTCTCTGTAGGCGCTCGAGCTGCCTTCTGACGGAATCACGCACATTCTTTCCTTGTAAGTTTAGGACACTCCCCTGTGAATCGTTTGAAGTTCTTGCTTTCGGTGAATTGCAGAACGAAGATGTATCCAGCTGACATGTTAACCCCCAGCTCCACCTAGTAACCATCTTGATAGAAAGTTGGCTTGATATTCGATTTCTGGTGTATTAAGAGCTGTTGTTGAAGTTTGCCTGAGAAGATGAAGGCAGCCTGCTGTCCTCACTGTAACCGTACCAAGGAACAGATGGCAGGAACTAGGTTCAGTCACCCCAAGATTCAAGATTCAAGATTCTTTATTCGTCACATGTAGTTATAGCTGGTACAACATACAGTGAAATGTGTTTCCCTGGCTGAAAAAAGTACTCAACAGAGGATAAGTATAAAATAAGAGAAAAAATTATCAGTGGAAAAAAGACAAGGTAATAAGTACTAACAGAGGATAAGTATAAATAATCCATTGAAAAGACAGCAAAACACTTCAGTCAATTATGCTTGTATGATCTTCATTTTTTCCATGGCCTGTGTGTAAAATGTCTAAAAGGATTAACAGTGATGTGATTGTGCAAAGTATAGATGAATGGAGTGAGAAATACTCTTGGAATTTATTCCAATTCACATTGACTCTACTGAGGCTTTATTACAGTTTCCTTGTTTCACGAAGTGCAAACATTGCCTGTGGCAGCGTGCCCTTTCAGCTAAGTGGAGA